GGGGGGGGGGGGGGGGGGGATGAAACATGGCTTATAATCAGGTAATTTGCTTTTCTGATCAATGGGAGAAAAACACAGTGCAGCATAAACTACAGAACAAACAGTGCCGTCTTTGTATACAGTAACGGGAGCAGGAAAAATAAAAGCCACAAAAAGAAAGTGAAGACGTGGCCCTTAGTAGCTGACGTAGAAGTTCAGAGGCCCGATATCACACTCTCACCGCCTGACCGCAACAATCACACCGACACAATGCAAGGAAGCCTCTCGGCATCGACGGGGAAATGTACATTTCCATTTTCACCGCTTGCATTATTTATTACGTCAAAATGTCAGGAAGGTATTCAAGTTTTTTCTTCTAATGTGGGAAAAGAGGCTCCGGGTTTAAATGGGCAGCCGGTACGAATCCAATCAACTAGAAGACAGGAATGCAGAGGGATGTAGAGCCGTCCCAAACTGTTCCAGCCGGGCCGCTACAGTAGATGTATGATTTTTTTCATAGCAGAGCAGCTGAGTCATCTGTTAAACTGCTCTTCTGTGGCACAGACTGCAATTCTTCATTCGCTGATGCTGACCAAAAGTACCAGAGAGTGACAGGAAGGGGGGGGGGGGGCAAAAAATTCCTCTAAAGGACAATAGGGCTAATTGGTCAGTATACCCCTCCACATGGAGGTCACCAATGGCAAATGGCTCCAGTCATGGCTCCGACTTAGAGTCATGGGATCCGTGGGCATGAACCAGAAAGTGGACAAGCAGAGGTGTGATTCAAATAGGCATTTCGTCATGGGTACCCACTATTCCCGGCAGAAGGGCAATGCGCACGACCAGACACACAACCGGAGACCATTAAAATCCGGCAGATAAAAATAATTTCACTTTTTAAAAGTTGTACAAGTGTCTGTTTTTCGCAGACATTCTGCGGTGACTGTAGCAGAGGAAATGAGACACTGACAGAATCACAGAAAGCAAGCTGCAGATTGAGACTAGTGACAGTTTATAATTTAAGTTTTTGTGGGGGGAAAGGTATTAATTTGTACTTTTATGGTAAATGATATACATCAGCGACACTAATTTGCTGGCATGTGCTAACTAGGACTAAGAACCTAGTTAGATAGATCTATCGTTATAGGGGAGAGAAAAAAAACCTGATTAATATTGAAACTTAGAGACATTACATAGACATATCTTTTTATAAACCAGATCACAAACTGTACTTTTCAATCAAGCCAGAAACAAAGAAAATCTTTATGTAATATACCATCTAGAGCAGAGTAAAAATAAAAATAAAAGATGACTTACCCCAAATTCAACTCACCCACAATGTGTATATCTTAGCAGGACTGCCCATTCTCACATATAAGCACAGCTGGTTTGATACCCATTTATGTTCAAGAGCTGTCTAGCCCAACAGGGTTAAAGGGAAGCTCAGGGGAGGAGGAGGGAGGACTCAGTGCCATTAGCTGCACTATAAAGTGAATCGGCTTCAAACTACGTCTGCAATCTGGTGACATTCGATCTCCCACATCTTACATTGTGCCGACCCGAATAATACTGGCTGCCGGTGCAAACGACCCAAGGTTCTGGTGTATAGAGCAGTTTCGGTATTTTAGGAGGCGGCAACCCTGAAGAGAAGCAATTCAACAGGGGACATCTAGGATTACTGTTAACGTGCAAGCGGACATGCAGTGAAATTAGGGGTAAAAAAAATAAATAATAAAGGCGCTTTATTGACGTGTGCATGGCTGTGTTTACCGTTGTGTGCAGACATATCTTTTAATCAAGTCAACTCAGAATAAAAGAAGACCTGGCGGGATCAGAGGAGTCAGAGATTTCGATGTTTTATTTAGGCGGCTAAATGAAAACAGCGACTGATAAGACACTTTATCTTAATTACCTCTAAAAGAAAAAAAAAAGTATTTTTTTTTTTTTTTTTTTAAAAAAGCAGAACTGAGTAAAAGGTTGATATTCGTTCAAAACGGTAGAACACCTGTGAGTGACAATATCGAGAGGACAGGCAAAAAAAAAAGAAAAGGAAAAAAAAATTAACGTGTAAAATTGAATATAGCGGTTTTCCCTTAACAGTGCAGGGTCCGGAGCAGATTGGTGCGTTGAGCTTTAAATACAGTAACAATATAGAAATAGAAGCCAAAGCTACAGGGATATATACAGGCATAGCAAACAGTTAAAACGCTGAGGTATTCCCATCAATATTATGTTTTACTGCTACGCCAATATATTGAAGTACTACTAGGATTTCTATAAAACTGAGCGAAAACAAGGATTCACACCAAGTTATACTATTACACAAACGAGCGATTCGTCCATCTAGAAAAACAAAGTGGACTGGAAATACAAGGTTCAATCATTCGGTGCTAATTGTTTTCTTTCCCGAAATTTTGTTTTGTTTAGCCGGTCGCTCATTTTCGTGTTTCGGTTCAGTCTGCACTTTATCCTACGACGTGGAGCCGGTTCCGGTTCGGTTGCGGCGGAGGTGGCTGCTGCGGTGCAGTGCGTTCGGGCGCTCGGTCGGTCGATGCGATGCGTGTAGTCGGTCTGCCGGCTCAGTCTGCCCATCGGTATGAACTTCATTCGTTTTTTTTTTGTTGAGAAATAGCGTTATATCGATAGCTTGGCCACCACGTTCCCACCCAAACCTCCTGTCACACTAAAGGTTACGATCATCCTCATCGAATCATGCCTCATCCGCACACTCGCACACAGACACAACACCACCCCCCCCCCCCCAGCCCACCATCAAAAAAAGAAAACTACCCTGAAATGAGAATGACAAGAAATGGAGAGGGAAAGAAGAGAGATCTAGGGGAGCTGAGCTCATACCGCCTTTCCCATGAACTTTCCACAGTCAATGCGCTTCAACAAAAGGGTAATAATAAAAAAAGTTGTTCAGCTAGAGACGTGATGCATCCATCCCAAACGAGATATTACCGCATGTAAATTTTAAGGTATTAACACAGACTAAGGGCACCAGGAAACACAGCCAAAGTATACCTAACACCCTGTCCGAAAACGTATCTATTGAGTCCACGCACATCACGTTCTTTAACCTAAATGCCGAACAGTGTTCACGGGAGGCATGAACAGGATGCATGTAAAACTTGCTGAGAACCACAAAAACAGACCTAGAGGGTAAACTTTTAAAGCAACACCCAACAGGACGGGCCTTCAATACACGGACCAGGTAAATGCTGAAAAATGGAACATGAAATATGTTTTTTTTAAAAAAAAAAAAAACAGCCTTTCCCACGTCAATAAATACAACTAAATTTCCCTACAAAACTAGGTTCACTGACACACACAGACAAACCTCATCTTAAAAAAAAAAAAAAAACACCCTTCTTTCCCTGATTGGCATAAAACATGTTTCTTTAAAAAGTTACTACTTTAAAGGCTGTATGATTTGGAAACAAAAAAAAAAGATCAATTACTTCAGTTATTTTAAATATGAATCCGATGTGTGCCAGTTTAAACTTTGACACTGTAGTCCTATATTTTTAACGTATGGCATGAAAATCACTTCCAATCTTATTCAAAATCGGTTACCTGCTCTGAAAGCATTTCACTTTCATCCTCCATTAAACAAACCTCTCCCCAAAACTATGTACTGACGTATGTGTATATGGGGCCTAGATGGGAAGACAAAAAAAAATAAAAAATTTTAATAGCCCCTGCTGAAGCCATTGCTGTATTTATCATCAAAATAATCATCCTTGTCGAACCCTGAGCCCACTGTGTAGCGGTTAGGTGGACCCTGGAAAGAGGTGGCGGTGGAGGAGGAGGGGGGTGCAGGCAGGGGCACCAAGCTGGCACCTCCAAAATCCCTGCCGCTGCTGCCCCGAGGATAGCTGCGAGCGTAGTTGGCAGCGGAGGGGGGAGGCGGAGGGGGGGGCAGGAGCGCGCGGCGGCCTCCGGGGGGGCTCCGCTCACGGTAGTAGCGGTTGGCGATAGGCGGGGATAGGGGGCGCTGTGCAGGGTGCGGCAGCCGACGGTCAAAAGCGTCACGCTCATAATAGCGTGAGGAAGAGCCCGAGTACGGGTCATAGCGGACGCCCCTGTCGTAAACGTCGCGATCGTAATAGCCGCGGGGGGGAGGAGGGGGCAGGGGGGGAGGAGGGGGCATACGCCCACGGGGTGCATAGAAGTCCCCAGGTGGGGGGCGAGGGGGCAGGTAAGGAGGGTGATGGTGCGGGTGGGGTGGGAAGTGTGGATGATGGGGAGGTGGTGGAGGGAACTCATCTCCCCGACCATCTTTGGGTTGGTTGGTGCGAGAGAGGGACACAAAGATCTTCTGGCCCTCCAGCTTGGTGTGGTTGAGCTCGCTGATGGCCTCCATGGCCTCATTCTCGCGCTGCATGTGGACGAAGGCAAAGTTCTTGACGATGTCACACTCCACCACTTTGCCGAAGCGCTGGAAGAGCTCCTTGATCTTGCCGGCCGTGACGCCCTCGGGCACGTTGCCCACATAGATCTTGGTGGCGTTGCGCACCTTGGTGGTGGCGTACTCCACGGTGATGCGCGAGCCGTTGAGCTCGTGCTTGTGCAGCGCCGCCACAGCCTTCTGTGCGGCATCCTCCTCCTCCATGTGCACAAAGCCGTAGTTCTTCAGGATGTCGCAGTCGGACACCTCGCCATACTTCTCAAAGAGCGCACGCAACTCCGCCTCTGTGGTCGACGAGTTCACGTTGCCGACGAAGATCTTCACCATCTTGGCTTCTTAGGGTTACTTTTTCCTAAACAGAGCAGCAGTATGGAGTTCGGACGGAAAGGGAGGGAGGAGGGTGCTTCTTATAGGCAGCCTGCTCTTATGGTGCCACAATTGAGTTCGTTCTTCTCACCAGCAATTAAAACTTCTGCAAAAGGGAGAAGAAAAGTTTCACACATTAGAAACTGTTGTTTCAATAGCAGCTTGGGTATGAGATCCCTCCCATTCACACACAAACTGCAAAACGTTTGGTAGAACCGAATTAGCAAAAGATCCTTCACACAACCAGCATTATGCACCACTCCACAATGCCAGACCAAGGCCCGTTCAGGTACGGTTTGGGCACTATGCCAAGCTTCATGGTCTACCTTCATGTTTAAATAACCTTCACTCGATTGTTTATGAAGCCAGTAGCACAATTTACAAGCTACTTTAGTTGCAATTTTCCGTCAATACACGCCCCGCAAAAGCTAATTTATTTAGGGTCACCGTTACCAGAACCATACCCTATGGCCCCGGGGAGAGGGGTACGATGGTAAGATGGACGGGGACTCGGATATACATTGTAGCGGACGGAGAAATGAAAACACACTCGGGCCAACTTCCAATCGCTTATTCAACCGAACTGCATATATTTGCACTGTGGGAGGAAACCAAAGGACTTAGAAAAACCCCCACAAACAGTCGAATACTGCGGGATCAGGCGCTGAAACCGGTAGCGCGACAAACCTCCAGTTTTTTTCAAACGTGTAAGATACCAGCACTAGAGGGGAAAATCGAAACTGACGCGTTCATAGAAATACTCGATATTTACTTCGACTAGCATGCATGTAAACCAACGCTGTAGTTACCAGAGCGCACTCTAAAACAAAAATAAAATTATTTTACAATTAAGAAACTGAAACGTAACCTCAAGGAAGAAACGATTAACGCAAAACTGCGCTCAACGCGACAGGAAAGATATACATAATCAAATACACTTCGAGTGAGTCGGCAGCTAACACTTTAACGGCTTTAATTATTAGATTACTTACATCTGCAGATGATCAAATACAGAATTAAGCGCTTAACTGAAAAGCAGACGAGCGCGCGCAGCCCAGCGCGAGAGACGAAATGCTCGCGACCCGCGCGGGCGCCGCCACGCCAAGCAGGGAGAGCTTAATGGCGATACAAACACAGGTATTACAGACCGAATGCATCTATATGAACCACGTCAGCCGCGATTGTGTGCTTAGCCAGCCAGTTACCTTCAGGTGTAGCTTTAAATCGTTGTTAAAATCGCCCCGATTAGCCGGTTCTTAGCCGAGCCTCTAGGCCCTCGGTAAGAATGAATGGGGCGGCCGTGCGGAGCTAATGCTCTTAGCCTGCTAGCCAGTCGCTCACGCCGCTTATATAATGGAGCACGACTCTGAGCTAGTCAGTTAGCTTGAGCTAAAATGTACATTAGAGCGGCTTACGATGTGGACGAAAAACGGTCAAATTGCAAGGGGGGAAAAAAACCCTAAGATCGTCGTTTCAACAGTACCGAGAACATGTTTGCGTACTCACCTTACACGGATCCGGCCGGGCCCGGACTCTCATTTGAATCCTCCAGCAGTTTGCGTAAAACCGGAACTACCGCCGCGAAGCACGGCGGACATGAAGGGGCGTAGACCAGCGCCACCTGGTGACTGGCAGCGTGCTGGACCCCCCCCCCCCCGGTCACAGCATGCTTGGGTACTGTTTGCCTCGGATAGAGCGACCTTTTCAACTAAATTAAATCTGGGCACTGTAGTTCGCATTGTGTGAAGCCAAATGGGTTAACTGACTTTTTTACAGGCAGACGGGGACTTGCTATATTTGCCTATTTAGATTGGAAAACTAGTTTATCGAAAGACAGTATAGAAGCTGCCTGGATGTGATATTAGCGATATTAGTTGCTGGTAGTAACATGCCTGCTGTAATCCAGCTGAACAGGGTTGAAAATTGGAGATGTAGTGTGACTACATTCACTTTCCATTCTTTGATACCTTATTTCAGGTCTGAAGGCTTCAACCCCAGCTGGAAATGTGAGTTAGCATTTTAAGGGGTATGTGTGCAAAGAATACCTTTCTTCAAGTGATCAGTTACAGCATTTGACCATAATGCTAATTGTGGAGCTAAATTTCATGAAGGCATATAGCAAGGATTCCAGTCAAGTCATGAGATCTTAAGATATGAAATTTCACACTTGCCACCATTTTGAAATTCAGCATGCATAGAGAACATACTGCAAGGCATTTATCCCATAAAAACACTTTGGGTAGGTGAAGACAATTTCCTCTTGTTGTAGTCTTGCTCCTCATGACATGTAGAAGAGCGCAAACTTGGCCATTGGTTAAGGGCCTCCTTCAGGCCCATGTACCATAACAGGGCTTGAACCAGCAACCTTCCAATCACAGGTAGAGGATTTGCCCATTTTAAGCTGCAGTGTCAGCTACCAGTAGGTATATTAGACTGAGCCCCATGATGCAGCCTCTGCCCCCCCCCCCAAAAAATCTCATCAGGTTTTCAAATCATCCTCACTGCCCCCTTCCCCCCTGGCTACCATGGCAAAGAAATCCCAGAAACACCATTTTCAGACAAAACTCATCTTCAAAGGGAATTTTATTCAGTTGTCAAATTACACCTTAAGCGCTCAAATCTGAAGAGAGCTTCTGCATCTGTGGAGAGAAAAATCACCATATAATTACCATGTTAAAAAGATTAACTAGTTTAACCTCCGTCAACATTATGAAATCCTGTCCATGTGGATCAGAAGATGAGTACCACTCAGTCACAAGAAAGTCAGTCTGGGGCGGTACATTCAACTCATCACTTCAAGGGGATGAATGGATCAGCTAGTTCAGGACATCTGCAGTTCTATATCCTCCTGAGACCCCACCCATTCATTCATTTATGTCTATTGCAATGGATATTTTGTTTTTGCATCTCTCTTTTCACTGATGTAAGGAAACATTTATTCCTCTTGTACACTAAAGAGGACATGCTGTGAAATTAAAAATAAAAAAATTTGAAAAAAAGATGTCTTATTTCCTCCAAAGACATAGAAGATCACAATTAACCTAAAACGCAAGGACACTTTCCCTTGGGTCTGAGGAGGATATAGGAGGCTAGCATTGTGTGAAGTACCTTGTTTTAACTGGACACTAACTCACCATTACAAGTAGTGCATGTAACAGACTCCATTTCACAGAGGAACTGCAAAGAGATTAAATGCTATTAGATAAATCACAGGAGAAGAAGTTGTGCATGTACTTGAGAGGCTTCAGATTCTAAAGATGACATCACCGTATTCAGGCATATGCTTGTCATTATTACATCATCAAGTAACCCCAAGACAGGAAGTCTCCGAACTTCTTATTCAACATGAGCATACCAACCTGATCACCCAGGATGCTCAGCCATGGCCACCCATGTCCCTAAAGGCAGTTTCATTAACTGTGAGGGAGGTCCACCAAGGCCACCGCCCCCGTCTTTGGCTGCTGCTCGATCCACAATGCACCAGAACTTCATGGCTCATCCAAGGCCCAACCTCCATTGTCCCACATCCCCGTTGTGGGCAATCTCTGGGTTCTTGTCCTTCATAGGGATTTGACTTGTCCTAATTCTGGCCCCTCACCTAGGATCAATCTGCCTCAAGACTTTACCAGAGGCTATTGCCTCCAGCAACATAGCTCCTAGGATCACTGGGATGAACCCCCTCCACCACAGTAAGTTGGCGTCCGCCATGGCCATTTGCAGACCCAGAGCTCCCTGCGAAACGAAAGGGACTATGAGAACAATGGCAGGAATACAAATGCAACTCAGTCACATAATCTGTCCCATCAGACAGTTGGGTACACCAACAGGTCATCCCCTTCTTGCCTTGGCAGAACCAGTGGGTTCACCTTTTCAGGTTCTGGTTCCGACAAAGCGTAAGACATGCAGGGTTCTCATCACAGAGACATTTCCAATACCCTGCACCTATGAGTGCTGCAATAACAGGAACCGCAGTTTAAGCTCCGACTGCTCACCTGTCTATTCTGAAGCAGAGAGCAGCCAGGACTTGCATGCTGCATCTGTACCAAGGTAGGGGGGGGAGGGCAAGGAAAAGAGGAAAAACCTCAGGACTCTGTGTCGCCCTCAAAATGTAGAGAACATTACAACACTGCAACAGTCAGCAAAATGAATTCTCAGCAGAAGGTTCAGACGAACGAGATTCCAAGAGAATAATCATCATTTCGAGGCAGATTAAATGACAGGATTGTTAATATTTCAAAATTACTCACCATTCAAAAAAAAAAAAAGCAGCCATCACCAGAGAAGCAGAGCGATCCTACAAGTTAAACATAAAGAAGCAATGCTTCAAAACACAGCAGGGGAGTAACACACAGCACCAAGGACAGCAGGCAGTCACTCAGGATGTTCAGGTCTTTTCACACGAGTTCAAAGTGAGCTAGTTAGCTTAATCATTGTGACTGCATGCATAACTTATCAGCTGTCAATACAAAGAATACATTACTCTCCATTTGCAAATGTGCCCATGACACTTCTGCTGCATTAGTCAAGAGCACTAAGAAGTGGACGGTCTACACAAAGGCTTGGAGAATAGGTTTAAAATTACTCACCATCACTCCAAACAGAAGAGACAGGAAGCAGGCAAGGAGTGGCCATGGAGTAGGCACCACAGTGCTGTTCCTGGAATAGAATGATTACAGCATTACACACCTGATAAAGTCAAACCCTAAACTAGGCCCATCTAAAGTCTCATTTGCAATCACATGAGCTCATTACAGGTCTGAATGATTATCACTGAGATACCATTCAGGACAGCAGCTGATAGCATAGAGCAAAGCTGATTAAATGGTGGGACTCAACACCAAGGCAAACATCACAAGAAACCAGCCGCGACTTGTGTATAGATTACTAATTTCAATGCAAAAAGTGCACCAGCCTTAATTCCTAATCCCACAGACCCTTCAGAGTACACCACTGTTCAGAAATATCCCAAGAGAACCTAAAAACCATTAAGTTACGCAAGACAAAGGAACCAAAACTATGCAATGCTAAAATCTGAATAACTACATTAGGATAAAGCGGCTGCATCGTAATTAGCAGCAAAACGATCTTTATATATTTAACTGGCGTAGCTGAACGCAAGTAAAAGTTGCAGACAAGGACGATAGTCTTAAGTGGGGCCTCGGACTGCCAGTATACCGCACGTGTTCCTCCAAGTACACCACGTGCTGCATTGCCATTAAGCATACTCCAGTTGATTTAAGTATTGATAATACGCCGGAAAAAAAGCACACACTCGTACCTTGGTAAGAAAGGCCGTTTGTAGGCATGGCTCTCTGGAAACACAAGAAATAAAGTAACGTGAACCACCGGAATGGACCAACATGGAAGACAATCCTTGTCATTTGTAAAATTTATGTTTCTCAATCAGTTAAGAAGGTTGCAATCACAGTTGTTCAGTACAGGTCTGTGAAAGGTTATCATCACTGAGAAACAGTTCAACCTCAAAAGTAGTAACTAGAGAGTATGAAATCCTCGGCACTTAGACCTCAGAAAAAAAAAAAAATCTAAAGATCATATCTTGAGGCATATATCGTCATGGTTGTGAAATGTAGGTGTTCAACATCAAGCAATCTGAAGATGAATAAAATACGCAAGTAAAATCATTAGGATGGAAATGGATTAGGAATTGCCAAAGAACGCTCATGGTCTGAAGGGAGCAACTTCATATTATTTGCATTTAAATCTAATACCTAAAACAAAATTATTTAAGTAAATTGTACGTGGTACGTGAAGCAATATGACAATAAGAACAATAGTTTAGAGCGGAGGAAAGAAAGAAAAAAAAAAAACTAAATTGTGTACAAGAGAAAATAAGCACCTACCTCACGCAGATACCAGCACAAAATGACCGTTACGCTGGTTTCGGCGCTTTTAAATTGCGTATTTTAACCCGGAAGCAGATCCCTGCGGTCAGCAACCAGTTTTTTTCTTAAATACTTTTCTTGCACCGATAAACGAGCAAATATTAACGCCCCTATTGCATTGTTTTGCATTTTTTTTCGCAAATCATACAATATAAGCATGTTTTATTTTTTTATTAAGTAATAAAACGAAAATAATTATGACCCTTACTTCCGTTAAGCACCCGCTTTCAAAAGAACAGTCTTCCCGCGCTGTGAGATGAGCAGCTAGCGTCACGCGCACCCCAGATAACCAGACAAGCCAGAAAGATCAAACAGGCTCTTTTAGAATGGAATTTACTTTACAATCATAACTTAACTTAAAGTATTTCCTGGTGGAGTTTAAACAGTACGTGGATGCTATTCAGAAGTGTGAAAACAAAAAAGCACAAAAAACATAAATTCAGGGCAAGACCACTATTAGTCGGATTCGGGTATGTTTCAGATGTAGTTCGATCGCTGACTGCTGGGTGGTTCGGGAAGCTCATTAATATTCACGAGAGAGGCGCTGCTTTTAGGAGTATGGGCGTTTTATTAATATTATTTTTTTTTATTCTATAGTAAAGTATTTCTGTCTCCACCAGGATTTAGTAAAGCTCGAGAGCTGTCCTAATCCGTAGGAGCTGCGAGAGGACGGCATTCAGAGGCAGTCAGGCACACACATTGTGGGAGAGGAGGGATGTTTTGGAAGTTCTGGACAACAATTTACTTCTAAAAAGATATTGGCTCAGTGAGGATGAAGTATGTATTTGCTACCAACCTTGTACATAATACAATTGTACGGAGCCCCTAAGGCAGCGGTGGCCAATCTTATCCGCTAAGGGCCGGTGTGTATGCAGGTTTTTGGGATAACTTTTAGGTCAGCTGTTCAAACCCAAGTGTGAGGACTCTTCAGCCAATCAGTCCTCTAATCAGTGACCTAATCAGGGAGTTGCAGCGAAAACCCACATACGCACCGGCCCTTTGCGGTTAAGATTGGCCACCCCTGCCCTAAGGGGACAAGAGGGTGAAGTCTGCAGTTACTGTCCTGCTCAATAGACAGACTAAGGAAGTCAAAAGAAGAGCGATTTGGACTCCCAGGCATCAGGCTGTTTCTGTGCTCCATTTGTATTTCTTATATATAGTTTAAATATTTTACAGAGTGTGTATTTTATAGAGTACACATTTATACATATGTAAAATATACAATATACAGTGCCTGACAAAAGTCTTGTCGCTTAACCAAGTTGTAGGAACAACAAATAATAACTTGACCTGTAGTTAATCAGTTGGAATCAGAAATGGCTTATAAGAAAAGGCAAAGCCCTCTAGATTATGCTTATTATACCAAAATAAAGTTTTGCATCATTCATTGAG